AAACAAGCTTTTATTGGTCACCTCATATATTCTGATGATGTTATTGATGATTGAAAGAGAAATCAAGAATACGAACTCCTCCACTCTTCCAAATAAAGTTTAACTAAAGCAAAGAAATCATGAGGCCATTAGGATAGGCACTAAATTTCCTAAGTGATAAAAAGGTGGTTATTTGTTCAAGCTGAGACCTTCAACTTCTTATCATCCCAGTCAGGCAAAGTATGTGAAGGAGGTTATTTCCTTATTCTGGTTAGGCTGTAAGACTGAAAAGCAGAGGAATGTAAAATACTACCCTTCTCTAGGATTGAGAATGTATTTTTCCAGATGTTGTATAATAATATTGCAATCAAGATGAATACCAGTAAAATTCCTTTAACTAGGTGTGGCTGTTGGAAGATATCGAAAGTTACCCAACTAGACTAAAAAGCCATATAAGAATCTGGGGTCCACCATTAGCTATCTTCTTCTGCACAGGTGGATACAAAATCAAGACTGAAAGAAAGGAAGTGTTGAACAAGACATTGGATTCGAGTAGGTTATAAGTACCTTAGACGGTTGCAAGAAAATAATCAAGAGCACGAATGGATAAGTTCTTCAGATGATCAGGAAGAAGAAAGATATCCTAGAAAGGTTGATTCCTAATGAGAAGAGGTTTCCAGCTGAGGTCCTTTGAAGGACATGAAGCACTTTTATTTATTTTTTTTTCTTTTCATTTTCATGTAGCATAATTGTGCATTTTTAAATATCTCCTTTCTTTTATTTTTTCTTTCCCCTTTTGTAGTTTCTCGAATTCAATTCCTTGGAGGATAATAAGTAGTGACAACCTGCTAGCAATGATGGATAAGTTAGGAGGGTCTTTATCCAAAACGTAGTTCAGAGTGAAATATTGTTCTCAAGGTTGTACTTAGAGGCTGAAGTTCTTTTGAGAATTGAAAACTATTGACGAAGTTTAGACATGATGCAATTGCCCTATGTATCTCAATTGGTTTTCTTAATGATTAATAAATACACAGTACTGGTTTGACCATGGGTTTAAAAAAAAAAAAAAAAAAAAAAAAAAAAAAAAACTATAATAATATAAATGTAAATAAATAACTTTTTATTTGCAGTAGTGACCTGTAGGTAATAAAGTTAGCAATTGGAAGGGTTTATATATAAACTACTAATGAAACAATAAATTACTTTTGAAGTTGCACTTAGAGTTTTAATAAAATTAAAAATAGAGATGAGTGAGTTAGGTAGAAATTTAGCTTTAGCGAAATATTCAATAATGTATAGTATACAAATATTTAATAAAGTATATATACCTAGCCTGACTTAGGATTTTAAAAAAAAAAAAAAAAGTAAATAAATAACTTTTTTTTATTATATTGTTTTCTTTTCTTTTTAATCTTAGTAATTTATGATTTTTTGAATTAATCAATAATAACAAATTGTTAATAATAATTCTAATAAATAGTAATAATTTCAAATCAAACTTAATATACTTTTATATAAAGATAGATTGATTATTTTATGAAAAGTTTATAATTATATTAAATTTTTAATTAATTTTTAAATCAAGATATTCTATTATAACATAATTATGAGTTAAAAAAAAATAATTATAAATAAACTTTTTTTGCTAATTCTTTATCTATATATAAAAAAGATGTTTGTAAGAAATTTTTTTATTATTTGTTAATAAAGTCTTAATATTATTTTTAAATTAATTTAAAGTTTTATTTCAAAAAATATTTTCAAATTCCTCTTTTATTTATATTTATCTTCAAATAAAAACTTGATTTCTTATAATTTAAAAAAGTCAAAAAACAACTTTTTTATCTATAATTAGAAAGTTTTATAAGAAAAAAAAATCAATAATATAATATTCAAAGTTTTTTATATTAAAATATATTTATAAAGATCTTTTGCAATAGAAGATAATAAACATTAAATTGTATTTTCAAGATATTTGTTTATTATATTTTTTCTTTTATAGGTATCTGAATTTTTTGATTTTATATAAAATTTTATTTACTTTAGTTTAATTTTGAATTTTAGATAATACAACTTATTGTAAAATGTGATTGGTAGATATAAACCATATTATTAATTAAATATAAATAAGTATTTATTAATTATCTCATATGTTTTAATAATATCATTAATAATAGGAAGAGTTAATTAATATTCTATTTTTACTTCACTTCTTTAATTAGATTAAACTATAGATTAAGTTTTATGAAACAAGTCCTTAAATAATAAAAAAGTTGCTATTTATTTAAACTAAAGTCTATTTTTTTTATTATTTTAATTAGGCAAAGTTCAAGATCAAGATCTTTTTTTTATTTTGATTAGATAATAAGATTAAATAATTTCTAATATATGTTAAATTTTAATTTTTTGATTATAATTAAATTATATTTTTCTAAAAATTATTGAAAATATTATAATTAATGAAAATTCCCTTTACTATTTTTCTTTCTATTATTATAAAGCAAAAAAATAATTGATAATAGAAAATACAATATTCATTAAATTATATAAAAATTTGAGATCCATTATAAGTCACTTATTTATCATAATGAATAAAAATTACTATTCAAAGAAGATTAAAATCAAGTGTATTGTTGAAAGTAAAGATTTCTATTAAGTAATAAGTTTTCTCAAATACTATATAAGAAGATTAAAAATAAATAAGTTCTTTAGATAGTTAAGAGAAAAAAAAATATTTTAATTGAATATTTCTTATTAAGAAGAAGTCTTGAAAAGTGAGTTTTTAAAAAAAGTTAAAGAATTTTATTTTTTTTGATTTTTTTTTATTTTCTTATTTATCTATTTAAACATTTTTAAATATATCTCTTTCTCTTTTTTTCAACTCACCTTTTTGTAATTTTTTATATTTCAATGGCTTGATAAAACATTTGATAGTAACAATCTGATAAACTAAAAAGATATTTCTCCAATATTAAATTTAAAGATTATTATTGCTTATGATAAGTTGATAGAAATATTTAACTATAGTGTGTATCATGATGCTCGAGTGAAAATATACTTATGTTTTCAAAAAAAAAAAAAAAGTTAACTATAAATAACAAAAAAAAACCAATACTACATAAGTTAACTATTATATTACTTGAAATGATAAAATTATACCCTAAGTGCGGATTAAAAAAAAAAATTAATTTTTTAACAAGCAAAACAACGTCACGTGACCAACACATCGTTTTTCTAGGCGTTGTCATAAGAATTAGAACGAGAATCATGGGAAAACGAAAGGGAACAACAAATCAAGTTCGTAGTCACAAGCGGGGGCAAGGAAAGTTACATAAAAAGTACGTAGGCATTTCCCTTGTATTTCGAAGCGCGTATTACGCTTTGAAAACTTTTCAATACCTACTTAAATATTAGTGAAGATACGTCTAATGACGTTCAGTTTGATTCTATGAATCATGGTGCTTGCAATGAAGGCATGAAAAATGATTACAGTTGATCATATAATTTTATCGGCTACTATCAAGCTATTAATCCCTTTCACACTTCTCATAATAAGGCGGTACAGATAATGAGATTCCTGTGACTCTCGGAATGTGGGATTTTGAGCATTGCGACCCAAAGAGATGTTCGGGTAAAAAACTTTCAAGATTAGGTATTGTAAAAATCCTAAAGGTTTCTCATAGATTTCGCGGGATTACGCTGAGGTATACAAGTGCAAGTGCCGTTCTTTTTTTACTTATCAACGTTCAATAATTCAATTCTTTTTTTAAAAAAACGGATGTTAAGCCCACAAGGACAACAAGCCGTTTCCCCGGCTGATCGATTAATCGTGCAAGAATTCGGCTTTGCGGTTGTTGATTGTTCGTGGGCGAGGTTAGAGGATGTGCCATTTACAAAGATGAAGACGTGTCATGATCGATTGCGTGAGTGCAAATTAAGGGAATAACTTCGTCTCTGAAAAAGTAACTTTTGTTGGCTTAATTTTTGGCGCTGTCGTTAGTGCCCTATTTGGTTGCATCAAACCCCACAAATTACGGTCGTCCGTGGAAGTTGAATTGTGCTGAAGCCTTTGCAGCAGGTTTCTATATTACTGGTAGGAATTTGACCGACCAAAAAAAAAAAAAAAATTCCAATTGTGTGTCCCATGTGCGAATTTTACTTCATTTTAGGATTCCCTGAATACGCGCAAAAGGTCTTATCCAAGTTTAAGTGGGGTCATTCATTCTTCGCAGTCAATGGGTAAAAATTTATCAACAAATGACCTTATTTATTTCATGCTTTATCTAATGACAGTTCTCTTTCTATCATCATATCATCATCTTCGGTTTGTTATATTATTCAGCGATTTACTAAAAAAATACGCTGCATGCAAAGATTCTGGTGAGGTTGTCAAGGTTCAGAATGAATGGCTAAAAGATATTGAAGAGGAGTATGCCCAAGCACGCGTAAAAACAGGTGATGGTCGTTCCGGAAAAGGAGATTACGCTATACATTTTGTGGAACTATTTATTGTTTTATTTTGTCTCAATTCTAACATATTTATGTTATAGACGATTCCAACGATCTAATGGTAGAAAATCCTAATCATTCTTTATGGAATCAAGATTCTGATTCTGATTCTGATGTGCTCGAAGTAAAAAATTTTGGTCAGCTAACATTAAATGACAAAGATAATGACGATTTCAATGACACAGATTCACAAAGCGAAGAAAGTATAAAATTGGAATAAATTATTTGTTAAAATAAGAAATCTTTATTTACTTTAATTTTTATATTAAATCATCTGTTGCCAAAGTGGTATCACTTCTGCGAGTATTATGCGCGAATACCTCGTTATAACTAGCTAGAATTTTAATATGATGTTCCGAATAATTTGAGATGTATGTACGCGTGTCCTGTTACCAAATTCAGTATAAAAACACTACCGTGTTGCAAAGACCTTCATCTCGTGATATAACGTAATTTATATCTCAGTTTTGTTAGTTACTTCTACTTAAAAAAAGCACCTTGTGTTAATAGTGTCGAAATATATTTTCACGGTTTTTTTTGGAATTTCGTTCATTTCTCTCTGTCGCTTTTTTAGAGCTAGGGAAATTAGAAAAATGTCAAACAGCGATAGAAAGAAAAAACTGGAAGAATTAGCAGCCAAACGTAGAGCAGCAGCGGAAGCGGAAGCTACAGGAGGATCGTGCGTGACTTTTTTTGGTTCACATTCTGTATTGTTTAGTAATGAGGTTGCATGTTTTTTCCATTTTCTCAAATAAGTACTTAATATCTGTGTTTTTTTAATTTAAACGCAATGAAAATCGGTATATTTTGTAATGAAGTGAGGGAGAAAAGCAAAAAAAGTCGCTTCCTAAGGAAAAGAAATCATCTATTATCCGTTCAAAAAATAAACCGCTTCCCCCATTAAAATCAAAAGTTGGGAGGGCAGCAACTCAGGATGAATATGAGGATGATGGATTCATTGTTGATGATGAAGGTTTGATAAGTGTTTTATAATCTTTTTTATATTTGTATGCGTAGTAAAATCTCAACTAATGTCCCCACGCCGGCTTTCCATAGAAGACATATCTGATTCAGAGAGTCAGCATTCATCTGGTGAAAACTTTACTGTGTCCGATGAAGCTTTGGAGTCTGATTATTCCGATGGTGTAGGATCAAGTAAAAGAAAAAAGAAAAAAGTCGCGTCAAGTGCCAAGAAGTCTAAAGGCAGTAATATTAAAAAGGTATTCCGCCAGAATTTGCAGAGCCGATTTTTTCTGGTTGAATTGCCATTTTTTTTTCTAAAAAATTTCCTGATGTTTAGAAAACGACAAAAAGAAAGAAGATTGAAAGCGATGATGAAGATAGTTCCGAGGAAGAAGTGGTGAAGAAAAGGTCAAGTAAAAAGAATAAAAAAAAAAAGGGAACTAGCGATGAAGAAGAGTTGTCAGATATTCACAGTAAGTTTATTGAATTGGTAGTCATCGTATCCAGAATTAGATTCATTTCATATTTGTATTGTGATATATAGAAGATGAACTTGATGCGCTCGATACTTCTAAAATCATCAAAGGAAGAAGAACGAGAGGAAAACAGATAGATTTTAAGGGACAGGTAAATATTTATTTAAATGACTGCGTTCTTTTTATGAAATGCCTTATTAAACTTCGTCGTATATTTAGGACCCTTACGACGACGACGAATAAATGATTATTTTGTTAACAAGACATCCTGGCATTAATTGCATAGTTTCCCTTTACAAATGCGGAGGCACATTGCGGAGTATTTTATTTTGGACGCTGGCGGTTAACCTTTTGCAGATGTTGTTTTCTATCGTAATCATGTTCTTGTTTTCAGGTATCTGTCGAGTTGATAGTATTAAACAAATAATAGCATAGGCTTCGGTGAATAACAAATTTATTGGGCTTAAAGGTTATTAAATATGTTATCGTTATCGAATTCAGAGCGGCGGAGTAGTAACAAAAAAAAAAAAAAATTTGCATCGTCAATTTGCATAGAATCTAATGACACGTAAAAAATTATATCCAGTGTTATGGACGGAATATTTCGAATGCATTCTCTCGGTCGGATTTGAAATTATAAAGAATTTCATTAGATCAATTTTACTATTTATTTTATTTTTATTTTTTTATTTTTTTATAAATGTTATTATTCCTTGGCATATGCGTGACGATGTTCTGATGACATTAGTAAAAGAAAGAAAAACATTGGCATGAACTCTTCTACTTTTTCAAATAAAGTATAATCAAAACAAAAAAACTAAAACCATTAGAATAGACATTAAATTCCCTAAGTAGCAAAAAGATAATTATTTGTTCATGATCTTCAACTTATTATTTCAGTTAGGCAAAATATACAAATGAAAGTATTTTTTTATTTAGATTAAACAGTAAGATTAAAAAGTAGAAGATTATAAACCATTTTCTTTTTCTAAGATTGAGAATGTATTTTTTTAGATATTGTGTAATGATATTATAATTAATAAAGATTTTCATAATTTTTGAGACCCTTCCATAATTATAAGGTAAAAAGATTGTTGGAAAATCTAACTTTTTAAATAATAAAAGATAATTACGAATAAAAAATTTTTAACTAAACATGGCTGCTAAAAGATATTGGAAGTTATACAACATAACTAAAAGATCACATAAGAATTTAAAATCGCATTATAAATTGTTATTTTATACAAATGAATATAAAATTAATCCTGCAAAAAATGAAGTATTAAGTAGGACACTAGATTGGAATAGATTATAAGTATCTCAGATAGTTATAAAAAAACAATTAAGGTTATAAATAAATAAGTTCTTTAGATTATCAAAAAGAAAAAGAATATTTTATTGATTTTTAATAAAAGAAAGTTTTTAGTAGAGATTCTTTAAAAAATATAGAGTTCTTTTATTTTTATTTTAATTTTTTTCTTTAAATAGTTTATTTACATATTTTTAAAAATTGTTTTTTTTTCTTTTCCTTTTTGTGATTTCTTGCAATCAATTTTTTAGAAAATAATAAATAGTAACAACCTGGTAGCATAATAATTAAATTAAGAGAATCTTTATTTAAAATTTATTAAGAAGTAAAATATTGTTTTCAAAGTTGTATTTAAAAATTAAATTTTTTTTTTAAAATTAAAAATTATTGTTAAGTGAATCAATATAAGATTTAATTTAATTATAATATAATTGTTTAATACATTTCTATTAGTTTTCTTAATGATTAATAAATATACAATACTGATCTAATTACAAGTTTAAAAAAAAAATTATTTATAACTAAATATATAAATTTAATATGTCATTTAGTATAAATATAAATATAATTATCAATACTAAAAATTTTTTATTTTTATTTATTTATTTTTTTTTTAATTAATCCTCTGTCAAGTTAGTTATATGTGCTTTATTAAATATTTGTAAGCTGTACATATTAAATAAAATGCTAAATCCAAATCTTTAACTAACTCACTCATTTTAATTATATTATTTCTTTAAGTGCAACTTCAAGAGTGATTTATCTTTCCATTAGAGGTTCATGTAAAAATCTTTCCAACTTTTAATATTATTGTTCACAGGTCATTACTACAGATCACTCTTTTAAGCTCTAACAGAGATCAAAACCCAATCACTTCATACCATACTTCACTCCATTTAATAGGATTTCTTCCAACTTCTTGTTTTCGATTCTTTTTTTTCATATATCAGTTTCTCATTGAATTGACTTTCTATAATTTTGTTTTTTTTTTCTAGTTTTGTGGATATGATTAAAGATAAGTCCCTAAAGAGGAGGCAGGGACAAAAGTTAAATGTCCCTTACTAGGAAACATTAAAATTTTTAAATTAATAATTATAAAAAAACTATCCATAATTGTTCTCCATTATTCAAATCATTAATTTATAGTATTTTTTTACTTTTGTTCCTATTAAAGTGAAAAGCTATAAATTTTGTCTCTCAAAAAAGGACATATGTGATCTGCAAAATTTTATATGCTAAATACTTTAGGGATCTATCATTAAATATAATGATCTTTTTATCTTGTTATATTTATAGATTTCTAATTTCTGTTCCCATTCAATCATCTTTTCATATCTTGCATTCTATATTTCCTTTCAGAAGTGATTATGTATTTTTTTCTTGTATCTTCGTTATCCATTTTCTTGCTTCTTTTCCAATCATCTTATCATAATATGTCAAATATACTATTTTGATAATTAATTCTTTCTCTATTGGTTCCATACAGAAACTAAATATATCCTGACTGGTTTCTGAGATTCTTCCTACCAGTTTTACTATCTATTTGTCGATTTCTCCTGTTTCTATCCTATTATCTATTCTCAAGTTTAACTCTTTCTCTTCTTATTCAGTTTTCCTTTCTTTTAAGAGCTTTCTGAATCTTTTCAAGACTCCTTCTATTTCTTTTTGCCATATCTTATTCTATTGAGTCTTATAAACTGGATATTTTAACGAGTATTCTATTGTTTTCTCTTTCTGGCTATATAAAATGTATGTTACTTGCTTGTAAAGATCTGGTCTTCTTATAGTCAACTTCGTAAGTGTTGATAGCTTATTGTTGATCAATTTAGTGAGAAAGCTTTTGTTTCGTGAGCTTTTAAATAAAGTATTTTATGTGTGTTCTTTATTAAAATATTCCTATACAAGGTTCCACATATATTTGTGTTGGTCTTGAATTTGCTGGTTCTATCTTCTTTCAATTCTATCTTGAGTTGTCCATTGGTAGGCTATTACTTTATTATTAATTTTTTTAATAGCTTGTTTTATAGAGGTATTTATTACAATATTCTACCATTTAATTTTTGTGATTATCTTGGGTGAAACCAAATTTTTTTATTTTATCACTGGAAATCTTAGTGCTTCTTTGACCAGAGCATCTGTCTCTTCGTTATACTGAATATTAGAGTGTATCTTAACCTTGATAAATTTGAGATCCAGCTTTTTTTTTTTTATGAAATCCAGCATACATGTTCACAGGAACCAGTTTTGTTTTTTAGCTATCTTTTGTGGGTCATTTTGGGATACTCTTTTTCTATAGTTTTCTATTTCAAGATGTAGGCTTGACTATCTATAAAGATCTTGATCTTGCTATCTGCTGAAGCTACTAGTAGTATAGTAACTATTGTTACTAGTTCTGCTCTAGTAAATGAAGGCCAGTCCTCTACTCCAGTTTAGAATTTGCTTTTTTTTCCTGCTTCTTTTACCTGTATCCATGCTACTCTTATTCTTATATTTGTATTTCCGTAGTTTATAAGGAACCCATCAGAGTAGAATATCATTGGTTTTTTTCTTTGCTTATTACAGTTGAGTATTTCAATCAGATAGGATTGATAGGTACCTTCTTCAATATAATCTTTGATGATATTTGTTTTTCAATCCTCTATTTTCATCTGTATTACTCTTTCATTCTGGATAGTTACTTAGTTACTATATATTGTTCTATATATCATACCTTTCAATATTTCCTTGAAACTTGAAATTTCCAGTAATTGAGATCTTTTGATGAACTTTCTTGGATTGAGATAGGAGATCATATATATTTTCTCTATACTTGTTTCAATTATATATCAGTCTTCTAACTTTATACCTTCTATATAACCTTGACACTGGGCTAGTTTTGATTCTCAATTTTTAATAGGCTAATACATTCAAAGTGCTCTATCCTAAACTGTCTTGAAGTATTATCTAGAATCAATTTTCCTCAAATTATCTATTGCTGTTGAAATTTGCTTCTTATAATCACTCAGAGTTTCTGCCATTTGTCAAAGTTGATATTAAGAATAGAATATTCTGAGCTTCATTTTATCTATTTTTCATTTCAGGATTTTATAAGTTGTTTTAATCTATTTTCTTGCATTATTTCAGTTATAGATAGGTACCATCCTGGAATAGGTCCTTTGCTTGTTTTCTGTAACAGTTGAAACATTTGCCAGTTTCATAGTTCTCTTATTTCGTGATCAACTAGCTAGTCTATATATATCAGTTTATTGTTTCTGAGTAATGGAATTGCTTTTTTATACTCTTTTATCAGTTGGTATTCTTTAATTGAACTATTTCCTTAATTCTATATGAAAATGTCATTCCATTTCCAGCTTTGAAAGGTTATACTTATGTCCTTGATCAGCTTCAGTACTTGTAAGAAGAAGTTATCTTTTTTTGGAATGTTGTTAGTGAGTTATATATAAGCATGTTAACAGGTTTTCAGTATCTAACTTGTACTTGCTTGAGTTTAATAATTGTTGTGATTCTAGCTAGTCCTGAATCATTTAATCTATTGCATAATTCTATTATCTGGCTTTCTTTCTGTAACATCCAAATACTCTTTAAGTTATGAATCTTGGGATAATATATTACACTATTGGATATTGATTGACATAATATAGTCTTATTTTTGAACAGTTTTCTGTATACCATTGTTAGGGTATTGTACATCTTTCAAGATAGTATACTATATTATATTCTAAATTTGATTCTTGGTATTAGCACTCTATTCAGAATGTAAAGAGCTTGTTTATCTATTAGCTTTTTATTCTTTAAGGCTCTAATAATCATATTTATTTCCTTAAGCACTTGTTTTTTAGCTCAATAGCTGTTTTCTAGTTGCCTGTCCAAATCCCTAGGAACCTTGCTTGTTTGATTCTATCCAATTTTCTTATTACTTTTTTATTGACTTCTG